AGAATCTTTTCACTCTAGTCTAACTTTTCAGTTAGGGGTATGTACTCATATATGTATCTAGGTCTTTATGTTCATTCAATATCATGCTAACTAAGCATTCTTCAATGACTTGTTTTACTCAAGGGGAAATCGATATGGGCATGAGCGACTAAGTGACAGCCTACTTCTGTACATACAATCACTTATATACACATGTATGTATGTACAATAATACATAAACACGCTATGTTACACTTTCTAACCTGGCTGAAGCAAAATCTCGGTCAAATTGCTCAAGTGTAAGCATTAAATGTGCGAACGCATAGTAAATTTGCCATAAAGCATAACACCGAAAGAGGGTCAGTAGAAAGAAAACGAAGAACAGAAAAAATATATAAAGAATGGGGAAAATCAAAAAACAGAAAACAGGAGCACATAACTGTAAGTACTAAAATAACAAAAAAAAAAAACAGAACAGCCATTGGCATTGATTAAGCGAGAAAATGCAAAAAAAGAGAAGGCGCTCAGGCAATAGGCAGTTTTCGAAAGTGTCCAACAACGTCAACCTACATCACACCTGCCTAGTCGTACGCTGAGGCTCAGACATTTACTCACACCCTTTGAAAAAGAAAACTCCTCAAAGCTATTTGAAGCCTTTTACTCGTTTCTTTTTAGAGCCAAATGAGTGCTGCCTAGAACATAAGTGCAGTCGTGTTTGTGGCATATTGGTGGAGTTCGCATCACGGTAATTCTGCTGAGCTCTGCTTTTTATGTTCTGGGTTATGTTGTTGTTATCGTTGTTGTTGTCGTTGTTGATAGTGTGAATGCGATAGGGCTGTAAAGTGACACAAACGCCATTTAATGCGCGCATTAAACGTCAGTAAGCACAACCTCCAAACGACCTTGTGCAGTTGCGCTCGGAATGGAACAATATGGTAAATAATTTTTGACATAAATTCTGCTTAGTGTGGCAAATGGCCTTTTATTATAAGCTTTTTTTGAACTCAAAACTATTGAAAAAAGGCATGACATTTGAACGAAAAATGTCTTTGACTACAATTACAAGGGAAAGAGGATTTTCCTCACTTATACTGCCATTTGCAGACTTGCTCCGGAACACGTACACAAAGGACTCAAAAGAAAAAAAAATGAAAAAAAAATAAGAAATATAAATCGGAAAATTAAGACATTATTGATTTCAGAAGACCAGAGAAAATATTATAAGTTGCAAGGATAACCTAACACCAATCTTGGTAAGAAACAGAAAAATCATTTAATGGCCCCTAACCCAAAGAAAAGGTTACTAAAATCAATTTTTTTTTTTGAATAATTACAAATTATAGCTCATAAAAAATTTCATCTAGGAATAAACCAGTCTAATCTGGTGCTCTAAGTACTTGTAGTACGAAATATTAAAACCATAGCTTTTGCAATTGGAACGACTTTTATCTATATAACACTACAGCTTATAAAGAATTTCATCTGAAGCCTAATGAAAGCCCCGAATATGTTAACCACTCAAGAAAGTTTCATGAAATGCTGGACTCCACTCACTGCCGGGTTGCAGCCCCGCATTTTTGCGGCTATAGGTCTGTGCAGGCAAAATATCTATGTAAAAAACACACGTCATACTTGTGCTAGATCTGTTTCGTTATCTTGGAGTTGGATATGAATTTCCATTTTTTATGAGCTTCACTCGTATGTTCAAATTATATATTCACCGGTCTACTTATCAGTTTTAGCGGACATCGTATTAGCTCCGCCTCGATTTCGCCAAGAAAAGCTGATGATTTGTCCAACTCGTTGTAGAAAATAACCCCTTATCCGTGAACCAGATTATGAATAGGTTGAGAAGACCTGCCAGCTTGGTCAAGGTCTTCCCACTATAGATGCCGGGGCTGGTGTTTAACTTTAGCGACGACAAGGTCAGTTCTGTCAGCTAACCGTCTTTTGCTGTTGTTGTCAAAAAGTATTTGGGAATGTTGTAGAAGAGACAAACAAGACGGAATAGACGGTAAGCATTAAAAAAAAGAGAGAGAGAGGGGAGAGAGAAAAAAATAAAGAGAGAAAGAGTAAGGGAGAAGGGAGATAGAGAGAGAGAAAGAGAGAGAGAGAAAGAGAAAGAGAAAGAGAAAGAGAAAGAGAAAGAGAAAGAGAAAGAGAAAGAGAAAGAGAAAGAGAAAGAGAAAGAGAAAGAGAGAGATATTGAGATTATCCTTCTGCTTTGCTGGACTAATCTACTCCCCACCTGGACCAATATTATAAAGATTTATTTTATATAAGCTGAATTTTGATCTTTACTAAAGAGTGGAGGTCGCTCTTCGAGACTAAAGTAATACTAGTTTATCAATACAGATGCTCAGCATAGTATTTATTGAATAATTTAAAGCAATGTAAAGAAGTGAGACGACTTCACTGATTTTAGCGTATTTAATTGAGCTGATCTCAATCAAATTAGATCCCTCCATTGTTCAAAATCATAATTTTAACAGTAACGAAATACCAAAAATTTATATTTCAAAACTTTCAATGTAATAAGTATCCACAATTTCTTCTGAAAGACTACCTTCGTTAACATTTCTGTTATAATAAGCTTTTTGAGATTTTCAGCGAACTAGTTTTGATGTTTCTAGGGGAACGTTTTATTTAATATATATGTACATGCCCTTCGCCCGAAAATCGCTTAAACGGTTACAAAGTGCTGCTCATAAAATCTTTTCCTCACTCTCCCGTAAATCTCTCTCCACCACTTCACTTGCTAGTACTATTCTTTTTAAACCAAATTTACATTTAATTTTTGCTTATATATAATGACAATGAACACTCTGTCACAGACATAAGACATCCAAATACAATCACTCAGCCATTTCACTTACGACAAAAAACATCATTCTGACTAATAGAAATATAAGAAATCACCGAAAAACATTTTCTCAGAAATACTCTAAAAGTCTACTTGACAAGAAAGTTAAGTTGAGCAACAATGACAATAAAAATATGCATAATACCACAAAAGCACCTCCACCAAAGCTTTAAGCTTAGCAGTTTCATAGCCTTGACAACGACACACGTACCGATCAACGGTAACGAAATACAGCCGTCGGGGCTGACAGGTAGACATACTCCGCTATAAAATCAATCACTGGAACACAATGACAAATCGTAAACGGGTAGCATACATCCATGCATACATACACACCGACGGTAGGTATTTATGGAAATACTTTCAGATGAAAACGGTTGACATCATGTGAAAGAAAAAAATCGAAAAAAAATACTTATGAGAGTACTCATACTTAAATGCGTACATAAATTTGGGGATAGTCAACTGGCAGAAAGCTGCAGAGAAGTAAAAATAAATGTATATATTTTTATATAAAGTAAGACAGAAATATCAAGTTGTAACATCAAAAGCCCTCAGCTGAAACTGCGTTAAGTAAAATTTAATTCAAAAAAATGCGCAATCACATTACCGTGATAACAAATAATGGAAAAAATACAATGACTTACCTGACTTTGAAAAATTGCCATTTACACAGATACATGCAGTTACATACAGACAAATCGTATTACAAATGTATTTGATAGTCAGCTACGGGAGCATTGGTTACATGGTTTCCATGTCTCTCATTGCAAATCTCTTGAAAATACCACTTGCAAGCCAAGCCACTCGTTATTGAATCGAGCTGTAATGTAATTCAATTTGTGTCAACGGAAAAATGACGGTGAAATTGAGAAAAAGAAATTGGTTTGTGAAAATAATAACAGAAATAATCAGAAAAGTAAATAGAAATCGGTAATCTTTGGCATCGTGGTGGTGGCTTTAAAGATTTAAATATAAGGGTAAGAAAGCAAGTTTTAGAAATATATATGTGCATATGTACGTACATTAGTATGCATGCATATAAGCTTTAAAATTGATCTAAAAAAGATGCAAATTAATTTTCAATGATAGTACGCCATTTTTTGGTAGAAGCAACAACCCATTTTGCTCGGTCTTATATAGTAGCGATGGTAACTTCAGTTTCTTCATCGTTATTTCAGATATTTAGCGATTTTCGAACACGGCAAGCAAAATATGGATGGTTTTGTGATGCGTATAGCAGTTTCACATAAACCACAAATCCTCCATGTAATACCCTAAAATATTTTGAAAGATATAACCGCTGACCATGATACAATAACGATCGACATTGACAGCAGCCCCTTTCATGTTTTCGTAGAAAAGCGGAGCAATACTGTCGTGGATTCAAATGCTGCAGCAAAAAGTCACTCGTTGAGCTTTTTCGTTGTTCAATACAGATTTTTTTAATGCAACAAAAATTCTGGTTACCATCGTCGCCGAAGTGTTTATCTTCTATCAATCGATCGTCAGCCCATTGAACAACGCAAACGCGCGTCGAGTGATCAAGAGACTTTAGTTTTTTAACCGACTGGACCTCCAATGAGAGGTGTTATTTTTATTTAAACAAAAAGTTTCCCTTAAAAGGTTAATAGTTGTGTTGCTTTTGGGATACGTAGCGCCGCCTTGCTGAAAGCAAACTGTGTGCTGAGTATTTGACACTTCGAAACCGTCATCGAAAATGTCAAAGCTCAAACATGCCACATTTCAAAAATTAAACAATATATGGCCAATTAAGCAAACGTGCTCAAAAATTAATGCTCACCCCTACTGTTTTTAGCATTAAATTTGCTTCAATTAAATTTTGAGAAATTCCTTTCCACTGCAGCTCTCTTAGGATAGCATTAATGAGATAATAAAAAAAATTAAACATTTATTTTATTTATTTTTACATTTTTTATTTATATTTTTTTTTTGCTTAGTAACCAGCAAAGCCTTTTATTTATTTATCTGAAATACATTTAAAAACAAAAAGAATATATAATACAAAACACTCAATTCGAAAAGATTAAGTATATAAATATACAATTGATAATGTAAAAAAATCAGCTACCCCTGAAATCTTAAAATTTCTATGAAAAATAATCTTTATTTCTCCCCGATCACTTACTCATTTCAGTACAACATAAAGAAAAAGGAAGAGGTTGTCGAGGCCATGCCCCAAGAGGAACCCAATCCGCTGATGCGAAAGAAAAAGACGCCCGAAGAGTTGGCTGCCGAAGCGGAACAGGAAGAATTGGACGATTTTACAAGTAAGTTCACCAAGTTACCATTAAAATGCTAAAAAAATATTTGTTATAAAAAACAAATTAAAAATTTATATGCACTTCCTTTAAACACTAAAAAAAATAGTAAAGCCTCGCTGATAAATTTTTGCACGAGAATACAGTGGAAAAAATTATCTTTGAAGCGCACAAAAAACGAGATTCTTTCCTACAAAAAAAAATAAAAAATATAAAAACAAAAACAAAAATTAAAAACTTACTTTAACTCAACAACAACTACTACTACTAACTATCAAAAATACTACTAACTTCTACTAAATAAAACTAAACCAACACATTAATGCTACTAATACTAATACTAATGCTACTTTTACTTCTCTTCAATGTTAGCTAGTTTGATGTGTGTGCCGCAAATAGTACCTTAAAGTAATTTTATTTTATAATCCTATTTATTTTTTTTTCAATTTTATAATTGATTTATTTTTTAATAATTTCATGCCTCTATTAACTATCGCTTAAATTATTTCAATACGTACAAACTGAAAAAAAAACACCAAAAAAAAACTTAAACTTACGCTTAAAAACTACAAAACATCTTCCAGCTGAGTAGTTTAAGTTCAAATAACAAGGCTAAGAAAAAAGTTCCAACACATACACTGCAAAAAAATTTCCTCCGCACACTTGTAGTTGCATAAGTCATTGTAAAGAAATAAGAATAATAACAATTAAACACCCATAATATTGAGAGAAGAACGTGGAAGTAGGAGCTATGCAGTTACCTCCGCAAAATGTACCTATCAATTTCAAGTGACGCTACAATGGAAACGATTAAACCAATGTTTGAACTTTTGTATCACGTGAACAAGCAAAAGCATAAAAGAATGGCGTACAAACTGTGGAATCTTGCCAGTAAAGATAATAGTAAAAATGAAATAATCTAACGACAGAACCCCACTTGGACAAGACATCCATCTAATAACATAAACGTACGTGTATGAGTTTTGGTGTCTTTATACCTGAGCTGCTATACTCATATACACACTACACTCAAATACCATATGACATACTCGAAATGTTACTGTTATACGGTAAATCCTGTTCAGCACTAAGTTAACCTTGCAAATGAACAGGAAAGTGGAGCGAACAACACAAACAAACAACCAGAGCAGTCAAATGGACGATGGCAGGCAAATGTAAACTTTAGTCAATAAAAATATACAGAGAAGAGCCACTGCTAACACAAAAACAAATCAAAGCATTGGACAACTAAGTGCTGTACATATGAGTCTGCTCTACTGGCGAATACATCAAGTGTAGAAATGAATTTTGCCATACAATGCGCTCAATCCCTACACTTTAAATACTCAACTACTACTTATTTACTTATGTACCTTTTCATTAAGTGCTTTACTACACTTTTCGTATAATTTGTATTTGGTCGAGTTTTTTCTATTATTAGTTTTTTTTTATTTGTGTTTCATTTTACCTTTCTCTCGCTTTCTCTCTCTCTCTCTCTTTTTAAGGGTTGTGTGTTTTTGTAATGATATTTATTTCTATTTTTTTCCACACGTTCCACTCCACAACGCTTTGCAAATTAACTGTAATAGCAAAAGCACTCAACTAAACTACTAAACTACTACTAATTCCAGTTTGAGAGAAAAAAAAGAAACAGTCAGCTACTATACAAAAAAAAAATAAACAAAAATAAAAGAAACACTAAAAGCAACCACTAATTGTTAAGAATGTACTCGCATAAAATAAATAAATAAATATACTAACTAACTAAAAACACCTGCAAATAATACAAGTGACAACAAAAACACAGGAAAATTACAGTTGTAATGTTTCGATGCTGTCAATAGAAACAAGTTGCGCAGCAGCAGCTGTAAAACCGTTAATTGTGTGCTATTCTTCTACTACTAATCCTTTAAAAGTTTCATTATTTCTACGTACATATATACATATATCGTTTGTGTGCATATAATTCTACATCATTATTCGTTGGTTTTTATTTTCGTTTGATTACTTTTTCAATTTTTAATGCACGTACTCGTTTATCGTCTATCATCTGAATTGATTGAAATGTTGAAATGGCAACTAATACTTTTCGAAAAGAACTGCATTGAAATTTAATTAATTCAACTTGTTTGGAAATAATTGGACAAATTACAATAGTTTCTATTTTTGTGCTACTGATATGATTATTGTTGTAGGATTTATTTGAAATTTTTAAGAAAAAACTTATTTTTAGTTTAAGTGAATTCGCTAATAACACCGCTAATAATACCGTGCAGTAAAATAACTAAAAATAGTTTAAATTAGGGCATATAAAATTAACTTAATTTAAGGATTAAGATAGAAGGCATAAATATATTAAAAAATAATATCTTTAGACTGTATATATATATATATATATATATATATATATATATATATATAATATATAATATCCAACGAAGTGACTGACAACTAACAGTGAATTCGCATGATATCAGGTCCCTATCGCTAATTTTTGCAGAAAAGTTCAAATTAAATGAAAAAACAAAATGATATTAAAAAAGCTTATATAAAATAAAAAAAAAGGCTACAACTAAGCTCAATTACAATACAAAAAATTATCAAGATAAAATGAAGTAAATAATAAAATAAAGTAAAAAAAAAATAAAGTAAATTATAATAAACTCAAATAAACCAACGTTATATTAAAAAAAAATTAAATAAAATCAAATAAAACAGAAGTAAAACACATAATATATTATGAAGTAAAATTATGTTTATTATTTTATTATTATTATTTCATTAAATTAAAGTTAAACAAAATAAAGTAAAATAAAAAATAAAATGAAATTAAGAAAACTTTAACAAAAATCAAAAGTCTAAAAGTAAATTAAAATAAAACAAAAAAAAATAAAATAAAACAAAATAAATTAGAAAGAATATTAGATTAAAATAAACTTAAAAAATAAATAGCATACATAAATAAAATAAATAAATGAAAAACTAATATAAAATAAAGTAAAATATCAAAATTAAAACTAAAATAAGTAAAAAGAAAGTAAAACAAAATAAAATAAAATCAAATGAGCTTGAAGGAAAAAAAATATAAAAAATAAATTTATTAAAAAAAATATTAAGTAACTTGAATGGACATAAATTAAATTAAAAAAATTAACTAAATAAATAGAAAATTAAGGTAAAAAAGCAAAGAAAAAGATAAAAATAAAATACAGCAAATTAAATAAAACAAAAGGAAATAATATAAAATTAAATTAAACTGAAGACTATAAATATATTATCATATTTGGAATGGAATAGTATAAAATATAATAAAAAGAAATATACAAATAAAAAAATTAATAAAGTAATGGGTTAAAAAATTTAAATTAAATCTAACAAAATAAAAAACTCTTAATTATACTAAACTCAAGTATACTAAATGTGATTTAAAAAGATATACACATAGCAATAAAAAATAATAATAAAATAAAGTAAATATAATAGTTGTCAACAAATGTATACATATTCAGAAAATAAACTTTTATAATTTACATTTTATTTAAATAACTTTAAACTAAATTTAAATAAAGACTACTAAACCGAATAAGTTTATATTAGACTAATGAAGAATAATTATTGAACTTAGTTAAAGTAAAGTGAAAATTATTAATTTAAATTTACTCAAAAAATTTTGAATCATTTATTCTATTATATAATTCAGGGTGCAAAGACGACGACCTGCAATGACAGCGAACCCCAAAGCCATATCTCAAATACATATGATATATTAACCCTTAAACTTATAAAACCTAAAAACTTTAGTTATATACATATATGCTTTAAAAATTAAGTAAGGCTTTTATTCTCCATTCTATTAGGGGTAAAGCATGTGTAAGCATCAGCTACATTAGTTTAAGTAATTTGAACTACACACTAGTGTCCACATGAACATACTTTCGCTGCTTGCTACACTTAATTCATTATGTAAAATGCTACAACAGGAACATAATGAAAAATTAATGAGTTTCTATGGGACCTACGAAATGTGCAAGCGAACGCACATAATGGACAAAAGGGAGTCTACAAATACACACATACCAACATGCATACATATGTATTTCCAAGGATGCAATTCCTACTTGCTGATTTAGTATGATGATAATGAAAACAACCGCCTGCTGCCTGCAGCCACAGCAGCACCAGCTGCGAGTAGTGTGCTTAGTCAAATAGCATTTAAGAAACAAAACAAAAAACGAAATTCAAAGAAAAATAAATAACTACAAGAAAGGCAGAAAACAAATTAGAATGACCAACAATGGTGCAGGAATGCAGATGAAATTTCTTTGAAGCGTCCTTTTTTTCAAGTATTCAATTATACATGAATTTATCTCATTGGATTGCAATTGCAAACACTTGCTCACTGCTTCAGTCATTCACCCACTTGAATGGCAGTTTGAGTGCGCCTGGGCGTATACGTAATCAGAAGCACTTTTCTTGCATTTAAATTGAAAATTTACACTTGTTAACTATGCTAAGACATACAGCAACAAGAAAGTGGCAAGAAACTTAATTTAATCTAAAATGAAAAATAGAGCAAAAAAAAAACATTTCAACTTAGAAAACAACTGAAGTGAAAAGGAAAAGACAAATTCAAATGAAATGAAGAAAAGCACACAAAGTCCACAAGTGTCTTAATGCAGTTGGGTATACAAGTGTATATGCGTGTATGTGTGTGTAATGTGCGCATGCAAATGGCATATGCCAAGCGCTACTCTAACAATCTGTCTGGCAAATGGGTTTTATCAACTCATCTGCCACATTAAACTTACTGAGTGCCACTTGGTGTAAATTTTAAATTTAATCTCAGTTGTTGTACAAATTAAAAGTTTTTGCGGTTGAGTGAGAAAATTCAACAATCCGCAATTAAAAACTGCATCTCTCGGAGAACCTTAAACGTTCGCTACTTTCTTTCATGCGCCGCAATCATTTGCATTTTGGGTGCTGATATGGCGGCTGCAGCTTCAACACCC